CCACCCGCGATGGTTTTTAAGGCTGCAGGATGGACCTCCACAAAGATGGCCAGCACAGCCTGTGGGCTCCACCTTCAGAGCCTGAGTGCCTCCCACCTCCTCCACCGCACCCACTATGTCCAGGCCACCACCAGCCTTGCTGGAATGTTGCCATAGCCAAGCCAGCCCCGAGCCTGACTCGTCTGCCTGCTTGAGCCCTTGACTCCCTGCAGTCTGTTCTCAAAACAGCAGCCGTAATCTTATTGATAAGTTGGATGAAGCAACTCACCTGCTCAGACCCCACCAACGGCTCCCTTTCATGGAGTGCAAAAGCCAAACATGGCACATTGTGTTGTTCACAGAGGCCCAGTGACCTCGCCCATCTCATGTGCCCTTTCCATAACGTGATCTCTGTGTTCCTCCCACCCAGAACTTGGGGCTGTGTCTCCACCCTGACATCGAGTGGACTTCTGTGACTATTCAGGTTCGCAGAGTACTGCCGGAGTGATGCTGCGTGACTTTCCAGGGTGGGCCAGGGAGGTGATAGGGTTCCACATTGCCTTGTCCTTAGGCCACCATGTAAGCAGCCTGACGGCCCTGTGGCTGCCATGCTGTGGGGAAGCCCAGACGCAGCATGATAACCAGAACATCAAGTCCTTACACGACCTTCAAGGCCCTACACATTCTCACCGGCCTCTGTCTCTGGCCTGCGACTTGCTCACTGAGCTACAGAGGCCTGACCCTGGGACCTCACCAGCTCCACTCCCAGCACATTGGCATTTCTGCTGTTCTGGACCACACCAGGCATGCTGCTGCCTCAGCTCCTTTGTGCTTGCTGATCCCTCTGCCTGGCATACTCTTCCCTCAGATACCTGCCTGGCTTCATCAGTTATTTTCTCCTTTACTCAAACATCACCCTCTCAGTGCACTCTTCTAACACTATTTAAAATTGCACCGCCAAATGGCAAAGCTCTTCTCTCAGTAGAATGCCAGTAAATATGGAAAGAATGATGGAGTTAGAGAATCAACAATGGATGCTCAAATGAGTGAGTGCAAGTTTGATGAAGAACAGGATGTTGTCTCAAAGCCCGACAGCTGATGGGGGTGTGCTGCTCAGGTAGCCATTCAGGACCACACTTGTCATTCAGCTTCAAGTCCGCTGCAGCACTTCAGCCAACGGCATGCTCTTCCTGGCAGTCCCAGATGCTGAGCACAGCTAAGGTACTGGGGTCTGGCCATTTCTGCCCAACACGAGACTTCTCTAACAGGCAATCTTCACTTTGGAATTACTGGGTTAGCCCAGATGCTGTCCAGTCTGCATCCCTTCTGAGGCCCTCCAGGCCCAGTCCTCTTTCTCCCTCTTTAACAGGCGTTACACAACCCACCTCTGCACTCCTACCTCCCTCAGTGTCTGCTCACCAGAAGGCCTGTAATGACTCACCAGGTATTTCTCAACAAATTATTTATTAGTTACAAAAGTAGAGAAACCTGGCAAACGATACCTTAACCAAGTGGTCAAAGCTGACATCACTCATGTTGGGATAGGCTGCCATCATGGCCTCCTGAAACCAGCCAAGAAGGACACTATTTAATTTCTGTAATATTCTGCAAAAATGTAAAACCTGATTCGGATCATGAGGAAACATCAGGCAAACTCAAACTGAGAGGCATTCTACAAAATAACTAGCTCATACTCTTCAAGAATGCCAAGGTCAAGAAAGACAAAGAAAGGCTGAGGAACTCTTCCAGATTAAGACTAAAACTTAGACACAACAGCTGAATGCAGTGCCTGATCCTGGACAGGGAAAAAAATGAAGTACATTTGACACAATTGGAATATGGACTGTAGGCTAGACAACAGTATTGTATTAATGTCAAATTTCGTGATTTCGATCCTTGTGCTGTGGTTTGTAAAAACATGTCCTTGTTCTTAGGAAATACACAGTAATTAGATATCGCCAACTTCCTCTCAAATGGTCCCCCAAAAAACCCCACTAATGTGTTCATAAACGTTTATAGAAAGAAGGACTAAAAAACGGAGCAAAATGTACACAGTTGGCGCATTCGGGTAAAGCGTACTGGTAGTTCCTTGAACTGGTCTCGCATCTTTTCCGTAGTTTGAAATTATATGCAAATAAAGTGACAGGGAAATTGCACACCCGTATTGTGCCCCCTGCACCATTTCCAGCTGTGGTCAAACAGACCGTGCACAGTGCACCGTTCTGAAGGGTCCTGCTCTGGGCGGTCCGTCCTTGCACAGCGGTAGGCGACCATCACCGCCGTCCAGCTTCAGGACATCCCATCACCGCCAGAGGGAACCCAAGCCGTCGGAAGCACTCGGGGCCGCTCTCCGTCCCTGGGTCTCCCATCCCGGGCATGCACACGAAGGGCCGCACCGCGCCCTCCCGCAAGCTGTTCCTCGCCCGCGGCCGCAAGGCCCCGCGCCCCCTGCACAGCACACGCCTGCACCTCATCCGCTGACGGCTAGTCTGTATTGCCCCGCGCCCAGCGCGCCCCACGCCCCCGTCCGGGAGGTCCGGCAGGGCCGCCGGGCCCAGCGCAGCAGGGAGGAACTCGCCACCGCCCAGCCGCCCGGCCCATCTTGCACGCACAAGAGCATGCGCACAACCGTGAGGGGCCCCGGCGGCGGTGGGGACCCTGGGCGCACGCGCGGCGCCCCGGAAGTCCCCCTGGCGGGCTGCTGACCCGGAAGCGCTGGGAGCCCTCCCGCTTCCGCTGGCTGCGCCCAGGCGGCGGCGCGTGCTTGGTTGAGGGGCGGTCGGCCCGCGGGCGCCATGGTCTTCCTCACCACAGCGCTCTGGCTACGGAGTCGCCTCACCGACCGCTACTGGCGGGTCCAGGAGGTGCTGAGGCACGCGCGGCACTTCCGGGGGAGGAAGAATCGGTGCTACCGGCTTGCCGTCCGGGCTGTGACGAGAGCGTTTGTGAAATGTACGCGAGCTCGAAGGGTGAAGAGGAGGAGCATGAGGACGGTGAGCGAGGCCGGGGCCACAGCACGGCTGCGGGCGGAGCCGCCGCCCCTCCGGGTGGACGGTGCGGCGAGGACGTGTGAGCGTCTTAGCCGGCCTGCCCGGGGAGCGGCTCCTCCGCCCGAGGCGGGCGCCGCAGGACCGCTCCTTCGTTTCTCCTGCGGAATGCGGGCCGTCCGGGTCCCGCGCCCCTCGCCGCGCTCTCCCCGGGCCTGCCGGAGCCCCCCGCTTGGCCCGGCCGCGCCTCCCCTCTGCCTGGAAGCAGCGGCGGGAAGCTTCCCGTCACACGTAGGACGGGCCGGACGCAGACAGGCCTGGTCCCTCCGGGCCTGTCCCCGGCCGCTCGCCCCCCTCCCCGCTCCGGGCCGCTCCTGGCTCCCGACGGCTCCTGGAAGAAGCCGGGCCGCCCTCGGGGCTCGTGCATCGCGCGTTCTCCCGGGCAGCTTGCTCTCGCGCGTGCCACCTTCCTGGTTCGGCTCCCTCCCCTGCGAACTTAGCGTCCAGCGCCGTGTCTTTTACTGGGTTGGTGGTTTATTGCTCGGCCCCCCATCCCCGCTGGAAGGGCAGTTTCGGAAGAGATCTTTTTGTTCTGCTGAATGCTGTAACCAGGAGTCTAGATCAGTAGCACTTTGTCAGTATTGCCTGAATGCATAAGGGAGGTAATTCTGACCCTTTAAAATGAGAAAAGTGTCATTAACCCGAGATTAGGGCCACAGCGTGATAAACTATCTCTGCACGGTGGTCTGTGCGGGAGGGGCCTCTGCATCCCAGCTCAGCTCTGTTTTTTGTGCCTTGTTCTGTCGGAACGGGATAGAGGTGGTGCTGCCGCCTAGGACCCCACAGGGCTCTGGTCACTGATGCGTATGTGGAGAGTTGTGGCCAGTATCTGGTGGCACGCGCGCCCTTGCTGCTACAGAGGAGAGCCGAGGCTCTCGCGGGGCGGGGCTCCCTGTACAGCAGCAGCCTCACCTGGGAACTTGTTAGAAATGCAGATTTTCAGGCCCCACCCACACCAGCTGACTCAGAAACTCTGGAGGTGGGTGGGGCCCAGCAATCTGTTTTAACAAACCTCTAGATACTTCTGGTGCGGGTTCAAACTTGAGAACCAGTGAAGTTGAGGAAGAAAGGGGACTTGAGTACTGTCCTAAGACTAGTAACGAATGGCTTAAGAGAGTCCCCCTTGGTCTCCCCCTCGTTTAACGCACCAGAGCCGTCAGAAGCTTCCACATCACATCACCCTTCCAGATCTTCCCCAGCCTCCCCATCAGCCTTGACTTCCCTGCAGCCTTCAGACCTTTGCTGCACCTGGAACAGACCCTGCTACTCCCTGCTAGCTGGGTCCTCTGAGGCCCCTTTCCTCCCTCCCTCAGGCCTGCTCTTTCCCCAAAACTCTTCTCCTTGAAGCTTCCACTTCGAATGTTTCATTCTTGCCTGGTGGCACTTACCTCAGTGGCTGTCGTAATTCATCCACATGGATCCTTTCTACACTCTGAGCTGTGTGTACTGCAGAATCTCTTGCTCATCTTTGTATTCTCGGTGCCTAAAAACGTGCGTTGAATGAACGCCTTCCAGCACATGGTTTTTCTGTTTCTCCTTTAGAAAGCAGCTGGCGGGGGCCGGCCCCACGGTGTAGTGGTTAAGTTTGTGCGCGCTCTGTTTCAGTGGCCCGGGGTTCTCGGGTTCAGACCCCGGGCACGGAGATACGCACTGCTCATCAAGCTGTGCTGTGGTGGTGTCCCATATACAAAGTAGAGGAAGATGGGCACAGATGTTAGCTCAGGGCCATACTTCCAAAAACGGTGCTTGGGTGACACGCATCAGCCTTTGCTCACTGTTATCTGTACTGCAGGCCTGTTTGCTAATAGAAGACATTGGCTTTTCTATTTACTTTTACAAAAAAACCATTTGGTTCACTCAGAACTTTGTTGGAAGGCGTGGACATAACATGGAGAACTAGTTCTTAAGCATCTTCATGTTTTTTTATTTCAGCTCTGGATTAATCGAATTACAGCTGCCTCCCAGGAACATGGTCTGAAGTACCCGGCATTCATTGGCAATTTAATTAAGGTACAGTTGAGGATGTCCTGCTGAGATGCTGACCCTCTACAGAAACCAGCCCAGCTGGTGTGGTCCAGCAGCTGGGCAGTGGAGTGTTAGCACCGTGGCACTGCTGCTGTCCTCTGGGGAGGGGGGCCAGTTCTGGCAGGTTCAGGGACTCACTACACTTGCTTTGCCCTTGCCCTCCTGGTAGCAGAATTGGAAATGGGGCATGTGGTACTAAGACGTGAGCTCTGGAGTTTCCCCATCAAGGGAAAAAGGTAGAAAAACTTAGCTTTAACTTTAAAGTTTAATTTAAACTTTAATATAACTGAAGGATTTCTGATGAGGTAGCAGATAAAGTTGAAACACACAGTGAAAAAGGAGGAGAAAATGTCTTGGAGGGGATAGATTAAGCGTGAATCCCAAAATCTTGGTAATTGTTGAACCTGGTGATTATGCTATTCCTTCTGCTTTTGTGTGCATTTAAATTTTTTCTGAAAAAGTTAAGGGGAGTGTGTGTTGTGCTCCTCCTTGTATCAGGCCCTGTCTTTGGTGCTTTAGCAAGATTCTCAGGGTAAGTGTAGAGGGTGTGACATCCCCATTTTACTGATGGGGAACTGAGGCTCAGAAAGGAGACGGACTTTGCCCAAGGCACACAGGTCCCAGGTGGCAGAACAGGATCCACTCCTCCTCTTAGCTGCATTTAATGCACAGAGACCATCCCACCTCTCTGCCCCTCAGGCTCACTGGCAGTGTTCCAGTTTTCTGAAGTCACCTGCCATTTGTCTTGATTGATGATGTGGTCTGGCTCTTGTGGGAATAATGGGGAAGGCCCGGTTTTGTTCCACTGCTTATGTCTCACATACCTTTTCTGTGTTTCATTTCATTGTTTGTAAAATGGGAATTTTGATTTCCTCTTCCCAGCAGAATTAAAGGGTTACCCGAAGCCAACAGTCATAGTTCTGCCTTGGTGATGGCCGTTGACCCTAAACAAGGTCCTTGGTCCTATGGCTGGCACCAGAACTAGATGCCAGCCTGCTCTCCCACGTCACTGCTTGCAAGGATGCCCTCCCTTCGTCCTTGTCCACATTTATCCTCCACCGCCCTGCTTGGACAGGATTCACCACTCCCTCTCCCCCTCTCTGAACAGACTGTGTCCTGTGAGGGCAGAGACTGCCTTGGAGCCATGTGGAATGGCTGGGCGCAGAAGGGGTGCTCCGGGGGTGCGGGCTCAGGGCACGCTCAGCTGCATTCAGTCTTCTGTGCCCCAGTGATGCTGACGCAGGCTCTGATTTTCTTTGCAGTGCCAAGTGGAGCTCAACAGGAAAGTGCTTGCGGATCTAGCCATCTACGAACCAAAGACTTTTAAATCTTTGGCTGCTTTAGCCAAAAGGAGGCGACAGGAAGGATTTGCTGCTGCCTTGGGGGATGGGAAGGAGCCTGAAGGCATATTTTCCAGAGTGGTGCAGTACCACTGAGGGGGACGCCAATACCACCTGCCCTTTGCAGCCGAGTGTCTTAAGAAAAGGTTTCTCCCCTGATGCTCATAACTAAAACAGGGGCGAAAGATTATTTGTCAACAGTGTGTGTGTCTCATTTGCAGTTGTGTTAATTTACATTTAACAGGTGTGAGAAAAGGCTGTCCTCCCTCTCTGGGACAGACTCAAACCTCTCATGTAAATAAAGCCCGTGTGCTGTTTGTTCATTGTTTCCAGTTGTGTTCTCTGACATCAAGCAAACACACATTGGGTGTGCTCCACCTGGGGTGCCTGTTTTCGGACACTTTTTGGCAGCCTTGTGGCCTTGTGGTAGTGGGAGAGGCTGCTGGGGTGAGGGCTCAGCTGAGCAAGCGCTTCCTCTCGGAACCTTAGATCCTTTCCTGCAAGTTGGGGGCTTTGCACCAGGGCTCCCCTCAGGGCTCTGTGGGTAGCCTGTTCAGCATCCAAGTCCCCCATCCCCACTCTAGCCCTGCCCATGCTTGACCTTGCCCGCTACCCCTCCAGCCCTCCCCTGATCTCTTCCTCTTGTTTCCAGCAGACCTTCAGCTCTTCAGCCACTTTGAACATCAGCCTCAGTTTCCCTCACTCCCCAGCCCAGCAGGGACAGCAGGTAGGGTGGCCATGGGATCACCTGGGGAGGTCTTAACGTAAAGGTGGGGTCCCTCCTCCGCATATTCTACTCCATTAAGTCCAGAGTCAAGCCCAGGAAGTAGTTCTGGATATGCTCACTCCGCTGACCCTCTACCAACCCTGATCCTCTTTTGCCCGTCTACCTCCTCTGTTGCCACGCCCCCATCCATCCTTCTCTTGTGCCAAAATGGAAGTTGTGTTCACCCTCCCACTTGGGGCCAGGTCTTCCCCTTTGCCCTCTTAGGGAGCTGACTCCACCCTCAGCCTCTCCCATCTATATTTTGAGCCTCCTCCAGCTCTGGAGTCTGCTCTCCTTTCTCTTGGCCACACTCTGGTCACCACCTCTGACCTCTGGTCACCGAGTCTGCAGTCAGCCCCACGGTCCCGCAGCAGCTCTCACCAAAGCCATCTCCTGGAACCAAAATCCAGCATGCTGTTGGCTCCTGACTCCAAGGACTATGCACTGTTTGTGGTCGCTGCTCTCCAGGGGTGACCTGCTCACCCTTCCACACACTGCTCCAGAAAGCTCTTCAGACCCACAGTAGCAGTTGTTGGCTGCTTGCTGATGACTCCTGCATTTATCTGGCAGTAAAAACCTGTCCCCACTCCCTGTGCTCCCATGCTGGGTCCTGTGGCAACACCATCCTCCATCCTTTGCTAGTCCCTGGAAGTCATTCCAGATTCCTTTCTCGGATTCAACATTCCAGGTGCATACGGAGTGAATCGAATCCTGGCCATCTCATGAATCTGTCCACTTTGTTCCATCCTTGCTGCAAGTTGTCTCTTCTTGCTCCAGTGCACTGGCCTCCCATGAGGTTCCTCCTCCTGGCCCTTCTCACCATGCCTAATGATAGCCACTAGACTGGAAGCATTTGGAGGTGCATGGCTGAACCTTATGCTGCACCTAGTGCAGTGTCTGGTTCTGCACACAAGGTGCTCAGTGTGTGTTGCTTATCAGTAAATGGCTATTGAATGGACAACAAGGTGGAGGATACAGAGCCCTTTGGTGCGTGAGAGCAAGTTCTGTGCAAGATGTGCTGCCCTGGAGGAGCTGCCCTTCCTTCTTCTCAGGAAGGTGGGGGTGTGGCAAACAACTATGGGCTGCTCCCAGCACCCACTTCCCCTTCAACACACGACCCAGGTTTCTTTTCTACAGGCCTGGGTGCCATGGCCCTGTCCCCAGCTCCAGGGCCTGGCCCTGACTGGCTAGAGCCATCAGCTTTCCCCTCTTCTCTGGTCAGTCACTGTTCAGGGGATGGACAAGCAACCCAGGCAGGGCCAGTGAGAAACAAGCTGTTTCTGGGGTTTCCAGTGAAGAGGAAATTCCTCCTTTCCTGGACAGTAGCCAACAGAAAGCTGCCAGCCCCTCGCAGGGAGGTGGGGCACTAACCATGCTGCCCACGAGGCTAAGAAGAAAGATGGGGTCTTAGTTGGCACTGTTTGAGCTGCAGCATCAAGTCTCACCAGGAGTGAAAGCCAATGGAGGCCTCTGGGTCTCAGCAGGCTTGAGTCGGGGGCAATCTCCTGTCCGACCTGCCCCGACTCCACCTGCCCCCCACCCAGGCTCTCCCACCACCCTCACACGGGTCCTCACACTGTCCTGGTGCAAGTCTGGAGTAACTGCGACGGCAGACAGTACTGCACTGCTCCTCGTACAGATGCGACGGCAGCACCGCTGTCAGGGGACGCAAAGGCCCCTGGAGGAGACGAAGGGGCAGTGGTCAGGAGGGCGCACAAGCGCCTACCGCCCGCGATGGCTCCCCGCCGTCTGTGGGATGAGTCCAAGTCCCTGCCCCGGCCCGGGAATCCCAACTTGGCTGCTCTCCCCTCGGTCCCCAGGGGAACTCATGTCTGTCCCCGTGCTGCCAGGGGCTTCACAGACATCAAATTCAGCGTTTGAGGCCACCCCTCTCTGGCCTGTGGACTAAGTTCCGACGGCAAGAACTTCGGGCAGCTGGTGCGAACATCTGCACCCCAAAGCTGGACTCGGTGAGGACCGGAGAGCGACCACAGGGCCAGCTCCACGGCTCCCTCAGGCAAACAGTATCTCGTCCTGCCGCGCTGGGGACAGACCACCAGCGCGTGGGCCAATCCTCTCACCCTCCAGTCCCTGTGGGGGCCACGAGACCCGCGACCCCGCCCGAGTCCGGACCACCGCTCGCAGGACGCCATCCCGGAGCAAGGAGAGCCGCCGCCCGCGCCCTCGGGGGAGGGTCGTCCCGCCCAGCCCCTCGCCCACCACCCGCGAGCCCCCGAAGAAGCCTTGGGGCTGCAGTGGGAGCCTCGCGATCTCCCGGGCCCTCGTGCGGATGGTGAGGCCGCGCCCGGAGCCGGCACCGGCCGTAGTGCTTCCGGGTCGGGTCCGGGACCGCGGCCTCACCGGGGCGCCGCAGGGCCTCCTGGGTAACGAGCCCGCCCCCGCCCGCAGAGCTGATGGGCAGGCCTGATAGCCAATCGCGGCAAGGAGGCCCCGGGTCGCCCGCCGGCCGAACCAATGGCATGCGGCGCGGCGGGGCGGGCGCGGCCGTAGCGCGTCGCGAGGAGCCGCCCTGCCGGGAAGGAGCCCGAAGGGGAGTCGGCGGCACAAAATGGCGGCGGTGGCGGCGACTACGGCCGCGGCCGGCGCTCCGGGGACGGCGGCCCCTGCGGCAGCGGCCGGCACCCCGGGCTCGGGGAGCGCCGCGCCCGGGTCTCAGGGCGTGCTGATTGGGGACCGCCTGTACTCCGGAGTGCTCATCACCCTGGAGAACTGCCTCCTGCCCGACGACAAGCTCCGCTTCACGCCGTCCATGTCGAGCGGTCTGGACACCGACACGGAGACCGACCTCCGCGTGGTGGGCTGCGAGCTCATCCAGGCGGCGGGCA